GTGGAGGGGACCCATGGAGAAGGTCACCCTGTGTTTGTATCAGGGGCCCGCTGGCCCTGGGACTGAGGGACATTCCCAGGACCAGGATGAATGGCCTCCAGAGATGTGGCCCTCTTCCTGTCCCAGACTGGACTGGGCACCTTGGCAACGCTGCCTTCCTCTACCACGTTGTCCTCAGCGACTTCACTGGGAGCAGGGTGAAGCCCACGACGTAAGTCTCAGAAACCTGGCCTGGGCCAACCATGGCTCCCCTCTGTAAGGGAGCCCCCCTTTACAGAGGTGGCTTTTGGCCTGGGCCACTCCCTGGACGACGTCGCTTGTAGACTTGTTCCTACTTCCACAGAGTCACCAGGGGTATGGCTTGGCTCCATGTGCCTCTTGAGTGTCTTTCAGGCCACCACCATCGCCCCAGTAACTCCAAGTGGGCACAGCTCAAGGTCGGAGTCCCCACGGTCATCCGTCCCTCCCTGTGCCTGTGCTGGGTCCTGCACAGCTGGGAAATATCCTCAAACCTGTCAAAGTGATGACTCGGGCTGGAGACATCTCCCTGGGGTGAGGGATCTGGGTCATTGTGTCATCCAACGTCCCGGGAGACGGTGTGTGTGTGATGTCAGCCCTCTCTGCCCCACCGATGTCCTGTGTTTGGGACTCGTGATGTGGGCCAGTGGCACAAGAAGAGCCCCCCCCCAGTGCCTCTCCGAGGTCCTCCCCTGAGAGCAGGCCACCCACGGCACCCTTGCCCTCCCGTACAGGACCTCCGCCATCTTAACCACCACGTGCCCTCCAGGACGGAGCCACGAGGTGGAGGTGGACATCCGTGTGGCAGTGGTTGCCGTGTCCCAGCCTCCTGCCCCTCTCTGCTCCTCAGCCAGGACACAGGTTCCCAGGCTCTGCTCTGCTTGCTGGTGTCAGGTGACAGCTGCCCTCACATGGTCAGGGAGCTCCAGAGGTCCTGCTCCTGACCACCCTCCATTGCTTGTTTCTTTCCAGTTGTCAGATGGTGGCCTGCTCCCAGTACGCACTCCCCTCGTCACACGCCCACCGTCGAGGGCCCCATCTGTCACCGACCTTCACAGCACCTAAGGCGTACCACATGCTGTAATGCTCTCCGTGTCCTTGGAGAATGTCACAGTGCTGCGAGAGCTAAGCGTGCAGGCTCTGTGGATGGCAGCAGTTGAGAGCTTCCATGGGGCTGGGTGTCCATCAAAGCTGTCCTCTGTAGACCCAGGTGAGCCAGCCTGGGCCTGCAACTAGAGCACCGTCCTGGAGGTAGAACCAGGGCCAGGGCCCTTCAGCAAACAGGAGCAAGTGGGGCCGAGAGGATGTGGAATCAGCATCCTGTGGAGCTCACCTGTGCCAGGGTTGGACACTGCATGGAATTTGGTATCAGAGATCACTCCTCAAACCCTAGAGGCCGGGGCCAACATCCGAAGGGCACAGTGTTGGGCTGCAGTAACATTGCTGGATCACACTTAGAAGAGCTCGGAGTAAAGGGGAGAAATAATCAGTAAGCACCAGGAGACCTTGAGGCGCAGTCACGGGAGCAGTGGTGTGGACAAGGCTGGGTGTGGCACAGCAACAGCAGGGGTCATGGGCCTTGAGAGGGGCCAGCCTGAGGTCAGACACGAGGGAAACTAAGGCGTCCATCAGGAGGAAAATCTGGTGGCC